TATTTATTTTCTTAATAATATAAAAATTATTATTATAATTATAATAATATAATTATCATTACAATATAATAATATATCGTATATAAATTTATATAAAAATCATGTTTTTAATACTGTAATCGTATTTTATAATATGTTTTATCAATAATTTTAAAAATAATTACACCCTTTTGATACAAAATCCATTTATTGAATATAAATATATAATTAATTTCATTTGAGGTGACAATAAAATATTTTAGTAAAATACACTGAACTTGTCTATTTCTCGTATACGTTCTTAATTTAAAATTTATTTTAAATATTTGTCCACTCAATCTATAATCGTCGATGAAAACGTGACTTTTTAGCATTTGATTTTGCAACCATGTTATTGGACTTGTTTTCTAAACTTTGTTTTATTATTCATTTTAATCTTCTGTTATTTTTCCTTTATGGGCACTTCACCATTTTATTCTTACTAAAAAACTAAGCGTTGTTCTCCACAAAACCCATTGGCCCAAATGGTAAAAAGTGTTAACTCTTGGGGGCCCAAAAGAGCAAATACCAATAAAACCATTTTACTTTATAATGTATATTTGGTTCAAATCTGATGTTAGTCATGAATCATATAGTTTTTTATTAAAATAAAATTTAGTAATTAGATGAGAAAGACTGCTTTAGCTATGTTCTCATCCCTATTTTTATCCTCATTTTTTTAATTTTTAATCAATTGTCATTTATTTTCAGTTTGTTTATTGTTTTCAAAGTTATACATGAAACTAAATTTTTCGAACAAATCTTTACACACAATAAATAATTTGAAACAATATGATGAGTTTATGATAAAAATGAAAATAAGAAAAAAAACGATCAGTGAATGGGTCTTAAAACTATAATTTTTACACTGAATTACCTTTTAAATGATTGTATGTCCTTAACTTAAAAATATAGAATATCATAACAATTTAGGTCCTATATTAAACTAACGTAAAAATAAAATAGAATTATTCCGATTGATAAAAGAATCGACTTAATAATTTTTTATGTTAGTTTGTTAAAATTTATTTATGTTTAGAGATTTTATAAAATGAGCTTGATAAAGGTCTTTGTCGCTGTTAAAAAAAAAATGGTCAGAGCGACGCGATGATTTTGATGACTCGTGTTTATTTTAAAAATATGGTCATCGCTCTTAGGGTGTCCGATAACCGAACTACCTTTAAGAATAAGGTTTTCATAAATGGGTTCTGGAATCACCACCAATATTTTTACTATAAACATTGGAAAAGAAAAATAAAAAAAGGCGTTGGTTTAAAAAAAATGAACTTTGACTATTATAACTAAAGTTGGGTAAGAGAGTTAGTTACGTGTGGAGAAGGTATTAATACCTCCATAACGCTCCTTTCGGATTCCCGATGAAATATACTTAAAATAAAAACAATAAAATTATGCTTCTACACTATTTATTTATTGTAGAATTTAAATAATTATCTACATGACCCTAATAACTAATGCATACAAGGAAAACAATAAAAGAGAAGAGATACGAAGAAGAACCTTCGAAGCAAACTTTTATAGATTTTGAACTAAAGGATGCTTTTTGGTAGTCCCGCACTCTACAAAAGCACTCCTCCCTCGAACAAAATTATTAACTAACTCCTCGAGTGTCAAAAAGATCACTCGTACTCTGTAAAAATATTCAGAGCTGCTTAGAAATCCCAGAACTGGGTTCTCAGAGCAAAGGAGAGTGGAAAAGTGTGTGGAAAGTGGAGAATGAGCCTCCTATTTATAGTCAAATGCGCTAGGCAGGCCGGGACGACCGTCTGGAAAAGTGGGACGACCGTCTCAACTTAAATAACAAGTGGGACGACCGTCCCAATTTTCTGACTTTTTCTGAATTTTTATTTTTTTCAAAAATCTCTCATCTTCTTAAATGGAGCCTAGTGAATGCTACTAGGGGCCTAATGGAGTCTTAACCATCTTCGAAATGGAGGATTTCTGAGGTCTACTGATTGGCGGGGTAAGATTTGGGGTCTATAGTTGCCTTCCCTTCACCTACCAGACCGGTTGTTGGCGAATCCTGTAAGAGCGGATGGTGGGTGAATGAGTTAACCCTCTTGCTCGGTTGTCCTTCGGATGTTCCTCTGATGCTGTAGCTGACCCTCTGGATGAAGAATTGTGTTTTCTTCTGAGTTGACCACAGGGTATCCACTTCGACCCTGTGGTGATGAGTACGAACCCCCACCTGGTTTGAGTCTTCTTCTGTAAGACTTGTCCTCCAGATGCTTCTTTGGTACGGTAGCTGACCCTTTGGACGATGGATGTGAATCTCTAAGATGCTCCTTTGATGTAGTAGTTGACCCCTCGGTTGTGAGATTTGGTTTAAGCCCCCTTTTGTAAGGCTTTATAAGTACGCACTCCCATCTAGTTTGACGAGTACGAACCCTCGTCTGGTTTGGCTTTCAGTCCACTTCGTAGGACTAGATGAGTATGCACCCCCATCTGGTTTGACGAGTATGAACCCCCATTTGGTTTGATTTTCAGTCCACTTCGTAGGACTGGATGAGTATGCACCCCCATCTGGTTTGACGAGTACGAACCCCCTTCTGGTTTGGTTTTCAGTCCACTTCGTAGGACTGGATGAATATGCACCCCCATCTGGTTTGACGAGTACGAACCCAGTCTGGTTTTGAAGTCCTTTCCTTGGACTAAATTGTGTGGTAGCGGCTTACTGATTTTGTTCATGCGCTAACTCCTGCATTGCATGCATTCTTTTCTTTTCTTTCTTTTTTTCTTTCTTTTATCTTTTGCTTGGAAGTGCAAAAGAGTAAAAGTGGGGAGTATTTGGTGTATGTCATTTTACTTTTTATTTCTTGATCTAAGAGTATTTTTTAAGCTAATTATTTTATTCGTAAACCATTCATTTAACATATTTTCATTAAAAGCATAACATAATTCAATTTTTCTTAATTTGTTGCATTTTTTATAGTTTTAGTATAATAAATAATATACATGCATACATCCACATTGTTTTTTTTTCTTTTGTAGAAGAGGTAATTTAAGATGAGCCAAATTGATATACAAAAATGTCCAAATTAATGTCGTCAAACTTCATTCTTCTTGGAAGCCCAAGTTTGCTTATGCATCACTTGCAGAATGTTACAAATGAAAATTTTGAATCAAGCAAATTAACTAATGCGGGAATCCAATTTAACTCGAATTAAAAATGCAAATCAATGCTTGAATCACTCAAAATAAGAAAGAAGAGGACTATTCTCTCCAAATCAGTCCCAAAAATTTCTCTTAATAACAATCAGATTTTGCAATTATTTATTTGAGAAATATTTAATTTTATTATAATTAACTTTAGGCTTAATTTCTCGTTCAAATTCATATAAATAAAGGTCTTATGACAACACACAATCACAATCTCCTAGCCTAGGGTGAAAACTAGTGTTTTGTCTCGTCCCCATTTTCTTTCTCTACTCAATTTGCAGCTTAGTCTTTAGTTAGGTGAGTTAATCGACTGCTACTACATTTCTGATTTGTTCTCTTTTATTTAATTTTTAATTTCTATTGAATTTTCCAGTTTATATTGTTCTAGTTATTTTATTTATTTAGTGCTCATTTTAATTTCTACTATTTAATTGTTTAGAATTTTTATTCCAGTACTGGATAATCTTCATTTTCAATTCCTCTCGTTTCCAATTCCAATTCACAATTTAAGAGTTATCGTTTTTAGAAATTTCAAATTTAATTACCGCACTATTTTATTTCAAAACAATTCTTAATTCTTGCTCTTTTAATTAAAAACACTTTATTTTAATTTTATAAACTTCAGTTATTTAAATTTCGCATCAATTTAATTTTAATTGATGCACTATTTTGTTTTAAAACAATTTTTTATTCCTACACTCTTAATTAAAGACATTTTATTTTAATTTTATAAATTTCAGTTATTTTATTTTTGTTTCCGTTTAATTTTAATTATCGTTAATATTCTATAACAATTTGATTTAATTTTTATTATTTTACATCAATTTTTTTTCACTCTTTCGTTCATCTCCTATTTACTGTAGATAAAATTATATGTAATAATAAGTATGTTCCTATAATTATGTCCTTATGAAAATTCGATACAGATTAATTATACTCCATTAATTTAACAACTTATTTATTATTTTTATCAATATTTTTTTACCGCATGCTCGTATCATTGATTTGGATGCACCACGAGTAACAATTATTCAAATAGTAATTAGTCAACTAAAACAATTAATTTAGTATGTTTAGTTGATTTCAGAAATCCAGGGAATAGAAAGAGAACATTGAGGTGTCTTGATTTTTTTTAGTTACGAAAACCAAATGATTTTCCATGATTTGCAATTTCCTAGGAGATAGACAAATTATCTACGAATAATGAGGAGTATTTTTCTTTCACCTTTTTTTATTATTGTCTTTTGTACCTTTACCACACTCTTTCTTAGTCTTTTGTCACTTTTATTCCAATTTTTTAGTCATTTCTCTGTGTTCATATTTTCTTGTTAAAGCATAAAGGATATATCTGACTGTGCTCAGATTGAATATAGAATTAGGAACCCAACTCCTTTGGGAACAATACTAAAAATATTCATAATGTAAAGTGCTCCATTTAAAGCTATCTTTTCTGCACTTATTTTTTTTTGTCAGATTGCAAATATACAATAATAAATTATATTTAATAAAATTGCTGATAAATTAATATATGTTGATTTGAATATCACACAGAGCTTTGATTGGAAGGACACGCTTTTCTTTCCCACCCTCTTCTTTCTTGCTTTCTGTCTTTCTTGTCTCCTTGTCTTTCTTTAGCTCCTTTTACTTTTTTTAATCCTTTCTTTTGTATTCTTTTTGGCTTTCTTTTTCTACGATTTTCTTTGCGGGTACCGGATTCTTATTCTTGCTATTATAGCTCTTGTGATTCTAGACACATATAATGATTTATATGTACTTCAAAATGAATAACACTCATCAGAGAAACCTCAAAGTGATCGACCTAAGGTGAACTCCAAATCCAAATTTGGCTTCTTGGCGCTTGATCCTGATATGTTTGAAGATGAGTTTCTATCTGATGTTTCATTGCTCAGGCCCTTTGGATCCATTCCCTTCCATAAAACAAAAAAATGATCAGAAAATTTCCTTGTGATACAAGAATACTGCCACAACAAATATTAATAGAGATTAACAATTGAAAAGAGTGCTTTAAAGCAGGATACCATTAAAGAAGAACGTGTTAAAATGTTGGTTGAGTATCAAAAGATGCATGTTTGGCTCGGAATAATTACAGAACAATTATATTGATCCAGGAAATACAAAGATGAACTAGGGTACAAGTCTTGTTAGAACTATTGCATGTTTCATTTGCTAGCTTCCATTAATGCATTCTATATAATATAAGAGGCTTGACCTAACATGTTCTTCATATGATGAAACTATGAAACCATTTTATCTGAGTGAAATGGGGTGGGTTTAGGTTTCTGTTGGGTTTTCAAATAAAGATTGCCATTAATTAAAGCTTAAATTTCTTTTTCCAACACAAATCAATTTACCCTCGTAATTAGCATCTATGGAAAAGATAGGTCTACCAGGTTGAATTTGTGAGCAACAAAGTAGCTTTTTGAAAAGCCTCTAATTATTCCTTTCATTGTCTCTATAATGTGCATGGATAAATGAAAAGGATAGAACGAATTTTCTTTTATTCTCAACATTATTTAATGCATTCATGAAGCGCAACAATACGCATATGTTAGTTTAAAATCAACACTACTCAATCTGTAACCAAAAGGTTACATTTAGGGACAGAGATAAAGGGACGTTGAGTAACATTATATATACAAACCTCAGCAGAAGGCAGGTTTCCAATAGAATCAACAACCTTTGGCTTGTCGTGCAACCAAGCTTCCTTGCTAACAAAGACATGGAAAGAATATTTCCCATTACTGAATGGCATGAAGAAGAAAAGCATTCTGAAAAAGAAAGCAATCTTTTACTATCTTATTTATAGCTCTTCTGCTCTCTGAAATAAAGTTGAAGCCACCCATGTGATAGCGCACCTCTCTCTCTTTCTCTCTTTCTCTCTCTCAAAGGGAAAAATCACTTTGTTTGGCACCAAGATTTGTAACTATGGTCTACAAAGGGATTGGCTTTAAGACCAAGTTTCCTAGTTGTAGGACCTCATATGGATGAACCCCACGAAATCCTAAGGAAAGAGATATCTCTCTTTCTGAGGTGGATTTATGCAATGATCAAAATCTAATGTCTTGGAATGGAACGAGTGTGAGTGGGATTCTTTTTACTTCCTTTTTCACCCACTAGCTAGGAGCGAGTATATCAATACCCCATCATGGGTTTTGGAGGTCATGGTTTGAGGACAGACAGAACAAAGTAAAATGAAATGATCTATACCTTTTGTGATTTTTCGCGCCTGAGTTTGATTGTATGAATGGGCTAAGCTAAGAGAGAGAATCACAAAGCCAAAGAGATAGATTCTCGTTTGAATAAGACATGCATGATGCTTGAATTGCGGTGATTACTTTAGGATTAGTTTTGTTTTGCTCATATTCATAGTAACATAACATGTATGTGCACGGTAATATTGCGTTTGGAGGGATAGGTAATAATACAATATAAATATGTTAGGACAAACTTTTTCATTCACCTTTCAGGGTTTGTTGAAAAAAATAATCCTATATATAAACACTAAAAAAAATTATAAATCAGATTTATTACAAGATTTAAAATTAACTTATGAATTAATTAATTTATATAAACAATATTTTTTTACTAGCTTCCATAATATGATTTTTAACACAAAATTAAAATACCTGCTCCTATGTATATTGACACGTGTCTAATATTGATCTAAACATGTAGTGAGAAAAAGTTATGGGACATTCAATTAAGTGACTTTTTAATGAAACACAGTTTTCTCTGATTGAAGTTTAAATTACTGTTTGTATCCACAATTTTTAGCTGCAATATTTTGTTTTTATACAACATGACGACAATTTGGTGACAGGTTGTTCATGTATTTGAATCTGAAAATCGTCTATTTTCATATAAAAGATCAAAATTATTGCATACACTGACTCTTCCTCGTACATTTGCATAGCCAAAAGAGTACACTAGTTTATATAACTTTGCAACTATTTCTTTGCAAATAAATAAGCTGCATTTACCTTGCGAATTCATACAAGAAAAAGTTCTCAAAACTCCAAAGCTTGGAGGGGTACTAAATTATAATTGTTATCAGTTATGTAGAACATAATAACTATGTTTATTAGCAAATTTCATTGTAAGCATAACGCCATTACCTGGAAGAGTTGTTCAAAAGGCCACCATTGTCATTATCTTGATTAATACTTGTTCTTGCCTGCTTAATAGATAGTTCAGACCTCCTTGAGTTTATATCAAACATGAAGTCTTCAGAAGTATCTCCAGAAGAGCCATTACCATAAGTATCAGATTGCCCTAATTAAGTTCAAAGAAGAAAGTGAAAAAAAGAGAGAAAAATTATAGCAAGAACAAGATACTAACCAAAAATAGTGAAATACTAATAGAGTTTCTAAGTTTTCAAACTAAATACAAGTTCAATATATGGTCACTAACCCGATGATGCCGCAGCTCTATCTGTAGTTTTCACCGTCCGGTACATCTGATTTAAATTTGTGAATCATTAGCACAAGTAGGAATCTATTACATAATTTATTTGCATGCATGCGTGTTTAGGAAATTTTTCACTTTAACAAATATTTTCAAAACAGAAAAAATATATATATAACAAAATTTATACAACATGGTAAGTAATGTTTATTTAATGGTATAATACATTACATAGAAACATAATAAAACAATAACTGAAGAAAGGGAAGTTATATATATTCTTTAATCGGTATTCTACTTTTTGAGAAGATTAATCTCGTGACTTTTATCCGTGAGATATCTTTTAAAAAAACAAATACTTATGGTGTGGTCAGTGACTTGAGGTACATGATAAAATTGGGAAGGGAATGCATGGAAGAATGTGACTAACCATGGTTAAAAATGGTCGGTTAAAAAACATAACTAAGGAAGGGATGATTGAGAAATGATGGTGTTTTGTACTTGCTATTATTTTTTCCCATTTTCTTTATAATAATACTAATATGCTTCTTTATAGCTAGCTATGGACTGAAGTCTCGGATTCGCTGCGACTCATTTTGAATAGCAGGGTTTTGTCTTACTTGTTTATAGAAATCGATAAGTACCTCTCTCTGACTCTCTCTCTCTCTCTCTTGACATGGGTGGTTCATTCTGCTAAGCAAAAAGCTGTTTATTAGTAGCTTGCAGAAGCAGAGGCAATAGATCAAATAGTAAAAGATACGAGAGACCCTCTGTAAGGAAACCATTGGAATTCGCAACGTATAACGTAGGCTTTTGTTTATGCAAGTAATAATTACCAAAGTCAATTAAAATCCCAACTAGAATCGTACCCAACTTTAACCTAAAGTGAATACACAGATTAACAATAAAAAGAAGTCAAGAATAAGAGGATGGGAATACAATACACAGATTAATGATAAACTAGTTCAATGACCCAGTTTGAGATTACCTGCAAGTGAGACTTAACATGTGCTAAAGTCAGATCCTTTACATCCATTAGCTCAAGAACTGATTTGGGTGTAGCCCCTATAGCCAATTAGAAAGAAAATGCAATTATTAGAAGAAACGAAGATCCCTTTTTTTTTTTCCTCAACTTTTTTTTTTTCCTTTTTTCTATTTCCACGGTAGAAGAAATGAAAAGCAGCGAAAGAGGGGAGAAGGAAAAAATAACTAAAGAAGAGTAAAAGAAACTAGTTAAGACAAATAATGAAAGCATGGTTACTTTCATGGCCACCCAAAAGTTCAACGACATGGACGAAGCGGGCATGGAGTGCAGTGGTCCAACGCATCCGAGGAGCCCTGACATTACGCTTAGGAGGACAGCGTGAGAGGAACCTTGACTTGATCAGAGCTTGGGAGAGGAAGGGGCTTGAAGCTGTGGGTGCGTTGAAGGGAGCATGTAGTAGGGGCTCTGAATGAGCAAATGAGAAAGGAGGGGTTTGGTAAACTGGGATTCCTCTTATGGGTCTCAGAAAACCTAGGTCTTGGCTCAGGATTTGGTGGTGAAAGAAGTGGTTTTGCGGGATGGGGATGACATTATTATTCTTGTTCTTGTTGAAGTGGTGGGTAAGGTTGGGGTTGGGGTTGGGGGTGTTGGTGTTGGTGTTTGAAGAAGAAGCCCTTGGATTGGAGAGGGAGAGATCTGTTTTGACTAAGGATGAGTTTGTTTTGGACTCCAAAGCTCTCTTCCAGAACCCCAAATCCATCTCCTCTTCTGTGCTTCTCCTCCAATTACTTGATGTGGATTTGCTGTTTGGAGGGGTGATTTGCAAGGACAAATCTGGCTGTGCTGGGAATAGCTCCATCTTATCAAGGACAAACTCTATATCTATCTATCTATATGTGTATAATATGTGTATTAAGGTATTTACTTCTCCTTCTCTTCTTGTGTTTTCTTCTTCTTCTTTGTTCTAGGTTCTTCTTTCCCCCTAGCTCAATTTCCTTTGTTGTGCAATATTGCACAACTAAAAGAATTTCCAAGGATCAGAAATATGAATTAGTGGGTGTTTCAGGTAAGTGATTTGCAAGAAAAAGGTAACTAAATGGATATTAATATCCTGATGGTACTTGATGTGTTGCAGAGGTTTGAGATTTAAAGAAGAAACGGCAAGCAGAGAGAGAGAAGAGAGGAAATGACAAGGTATGGGGAGTGAATGTTGTTTCTTTTGTTAGAAGTATATGTGAGAAAATGACACTTGAGGGAGAGAGTGTGTGTGTGTTAGTTCTTTTGTGGACGTGGGGGTAGGGTAGTAGGGTGAGAAAGGAAGAAAAGAGTGGCAAAAGAAACGAATTTGAGATAAGGAATTAGAAAAAGAAATAAGTTCACAATCCCCTTCTTATAAATATTTGAGTCCATTTATTTGGATAATAGAAATAGGAAAAAGTAAAGAATTTACTATATACTTTAAGGTGTGGAAATCATAATTAACTTTGTAACACACACGTACACTAGGGCTCTCCTTCTTTTTCTCAAAACCTAAAAAGCAATAACTCTGGAATCTACACTCACATGATTGCCTTTCGTTAACACACTCACACAGGTCTTCAACCTAAAGAATTACTACCACTTATGTTAATTTTTATAAATAAATTAGAATCATTATTGCCTTAAAATATGACATAATAAAAAATTATCATTATATTAGTACTTGTTTCTTTTTATTAATGTATTATATTTGTAAATTCATATATTAAATGAATTTTTAGTAAATTCATATAATTTATCTATGTAATACATTCGAAGTGTTTATTTACTTTTTTAACAATATAAGAAACACATGTACAAAGTAAAGTATGTAAAAATGAATATAAAAATTAATCTTAATATGAAATGACACTTTGTCAAAAACATACACAGTGATAAATATAGTATCTTTGTTGAGAGATTAACATATAAAATTAATATTTTAAAAACAAATCTGATTTATCCTAAACTCATAAAATTTAGGACCAACCTGCCAGTCATCTGGTCATCATAAAATGTGGTTGTTTCATGAATTAAAATTCATATTCAATTATGTGAATTTGGTATTGAATTAATACCGTATTATAAAATTATTGCCTAATACGTATTATCAATTGCATGAAAATTAAGTAGTAGCACCATGATTATTACCTGGACACAAGAGAATGAATAATTTATATTACAATAATGTGAGAAACTATTTTTAACGAAATTATAATTTTATTTTAATTATTTTAATTTTTATAAATATGAATCTAACCAACATATATTGAAATGGGATTCCTGAAATATGCAATACTTAATTCCATAGAAATCACATCATGAATTCTTCATTTACTTGATAAAGAGTCCGTTCTTTTTTATTCTTGTCACGTCCTCTGTTATAATCAACCACGAAATCAAAGGTATATATATATTTGTGCATGGTTCCAAATTGAGGGCAAAATCAGAAGGTCAGATGTACCTCTGTCTTGTGTACAAAAAATTGAAAATAAGTATTTTTGCAAGGGTAAATTTGTCTTTCCATAATAGACTCCAGTGACATGTCAGAATCTACCCTCGACTGCACGTATATTTGCCACTCTGTGGGACACACCCCAATAAGGCAGGCATAATAAAAGCGAAATTAAAACCAAGGAAAAAAAACATTAAATAATACAGGAAACATGCACTCTTATTATTATTAAAAATATAAATATTTATTCTTAAAATTATGAATTATTAAAAATAAATAAATATGATATAAAATTTAAAAAACAAAAAATAGAAAAATAAGAAAGAAAAAATATTTTATTATTTATTTTTATTTTATATTTAAATAAAAATTAAGAAAATCATATAATTAAAAGAAGTATATATATATTTTCTTTGAAAACACTTTTTATTATATGTTCACTATAAGAGAAAAATAAATTATTTTGTTAGGAGAATTGTAAAATCTAAATAACTGATTTGAGGAGTACAATTCGTAGATGGGGTTTTAGCAATTTCTTTTAATAAATGAAAAAAAATTAGTTCTCCAAATTTTGAATGGAAAGCAAACTTTTACAAGAAGAAAAATTATATATGGTTTGAACATTTATTGAAAAGGAAAATCTTATTTGTGTTATGTCACATATTAGGAGAGAATTATTGTCTAAATGTATTTATTTATAATTCTTACTTTCATTCATTATTGTAGAATATAATATAAAATAAAATACGTAATAAGATGTATTTACGTCACATTTTTTTCGTCTTTATTATCATTGTCAGTAGTTCGTTATTATTTTTATCAGGGACGCGTACGATAGTTGATATTTATGATAATATGAGAATAAACAATAATATGAAATTACGATACAAGTAAAACAATGTTTTAAAATAATAAATATTAAGTTTGATATAATGAATTAAACATGTTTGAATTAAATTGTTAAAATTGGACTTGTAGTTTAATAAATAAATATATATTTTGATTAAGTTTAATTTATTTTAATAAAATAATATCTTTTTATAATGTAATCATACCATTGATTACAATTTTTTCATAAAAAGTAAATAATTAGAATAAAAATCATCTTTATCATCATTATAAAATATAGACAGTAGTGAGAGTGTGATGAGAATTAAAAATAGATAATTATTTTCTTGGCCCCATTGTGACCGCACAAAACTAATGAAATAATTAAAATATATATATATTTTACTCTTTAATATAAACTTTTTAAATTGAAGAAAATAAAAGAATTGGTTATTAAAATCTAATTATTAATTTTGACATTTTTTATCATATTTTTTAAAAATTTATCCGATTTGTTAAAAAAATTATCCTATTGAATATATATTACAAATAGACGGGTTTTCGAGTGAATCAATCAAACCGATTTGATTTTGACAATTATGATTTTAGGGATCTCAAAACTTTTATTTATTTTGAAACAATATTTAAAATCACATTATAGTTTTGTTGATTTATTTATTTATTAATAAATTTAACCCACCACATAAAAAATAACAATAAATAATCATGTGAAAATATATGAAGACATGCTGTACCCAATTTTATATATTCAAATGGTTTTGTTTAATTATTATATGTTCTTTCATTTATTTTAAAATATATTTAAAAAATAATCTTAGTTTATTGAGGAAAATATTTATCCTGTTATAAAGGTTAAGGTTAATTGTTAGTTGTTTTGTTTAGGAATAGATAATGTTTTGTTATCTTGTCTATTACAATAATATTATACTAAGATCCATTATTATATTTAAAATACTATTTATTTTAAAATTTTAATTTATTATAATTTCATTTTGTAAGAGAAACAAATAAATTATTTTAATATTGACTCTAAATAATACCATAATCATAAGTTTACGGAATATTAATATTTTGATATTATATTATATTTTTGTTATGTTATTAAACTTTATTATTGGTTTATTATTATTATTATTATTATTTATAAGACTTGTTTTTTTATAATGCGGGAACGAATAATTGAAATAATTAAGACAAAAATTATATTTAATCACGTGTGAAAGTAATTAATTAAAGTGTGTTTATTTGTCTGAAAATGCTCTTAAAAAATTGTTATAAATTGAATACAAAGAAATTTGATGAATGCCAATATATTTCAAGAACGACATTGTGATTGAAAGTTTTATTTCATTACGACCTGATTATATTGAGTTTTGTACAAAAATATTTTGTTTTGTGACTCAAAGTAAATCTTCATTTTTCCAGATTTCTATAGTTTTGTTTTTATTTAAAATATAAAAGATTCTTTTATATATATATATATATATATATATATATATATATATAAATATTTTTAGAAGTGCATGTTATAAAACTTTAATGTGCAATCAGACCTAAAATAGAATCACATGACAAAACTCTTTCTTTGTTTCATGTTTTTAACAACTTGTTTTTCTTTTAATTTTTTTACTATGATATTTGGTCTATCAAGCTAATTTAAGACTTATTATTGTATGTAAAAGATACAAAGACAAATTTTTACCTGTAAAATATAACGAGAGTTATTTATAAAGACTTATTACATGTGACATACAACAACGATTATTTATAAAGATTTATTATTGTAATATCACATGCAATGACGATTATTTATAAATAACCGACATGATCACTCTTATATACAATGATAGGTGTGAACATATCCGTCGTCGAAGACTTGCTTCAAACATGTATATGACGACGATTATGGTATTAATCATCGTTGTATCTTCATTGTTTTTTTTTAAGAACAAATCTATTTTAGGCATATAATACAAATTTCAGACATATTTATAATACATATAAAATCATAAATATATACAATTCTTACTATCTAATATTAGTTATACTAAAATCCTACAAAAGTTATCATAAATCCTATAAGTATAATTAGTAAATATCCTAAATATACAAGAATAATCAATCAACTATCCTAAGGTTCAACCATAAATTCATGATCACATAATGTTTTTAACAAAAACTAAGTTATCGTAATGTATTAATTGTGTTGATGAAGTATGTCCATAAAAAACTGTAATATGATAAATAAATTTTCAATAAGTATCATTATAGTATCTAATAATCTTTAAATAAATATTAATTGTCTTACCTGATTCCAACTTCTATCTATTCTTACTTGGATATTAGTTGTCATCCATTGCATTATATAGTAACTATACACATATCCTCCAGATTGTCTACTACACTGTTTCTCAAAATATTGAATTAAATTAGCTTGTTCCTAACAAAAATAAACCAAAATAAATACCATGGATTATATCTTTAGATACAACCATGTAAGATTTTGTGTGGTCTTCCACTGACCTACCACTCATTATGTCATATCCAGAATAAACATTGATAACATAACACTTAGTTAGAACATATATAAAAATATAACTAGAATATAATTTATATAAACACAACCAAATTTTGTTACCAATCTGTTATTTGTTTAAGGTATAGCGATGACTTTTTGTGGAATGAACAAAATTATACAACTATGTTATCATTCATAGATACGATAAACAATTGCCAATGATGACTATACGTTGAGATGTATTGAAGTTAGTTAAAATTGAAATTGATTAAAGATAAATTATACAGAGAATCTACTTACTCATAAACATATGGTACAAAATATTTTTTTCTCGACTATTTGTAATGTATGTTTGTGTCTTTGACTTCTTATACCCAGTGGTTGAATGAGTTAAGGATATAAAAATCCATATATTTCATCTTTTCTCTCACTCACGCATAACTCGGAATAGATATCTACAATAAATAACATAATAATTAATATTTTAATAACTAAAATAGTAAGAACTTTAATTTAAATAATTTACATCATCCACAACTACATAACAAATATGTTAAGCTCTAGATTTCCTATTGCAATTTTTAACACGTCAGACATATGTAAATATAATGGGATATCACTCTTCCTTCCAAAAAGGGTAGAATCCCCTGCCACCTCAATTGGATTGTTACTATTGGCCCTGACAACATCCAACAATGAAGACAAAGGGTCACTAGTAGCATATTACTTCTTATTTTTCTCATCTTTCTGCACATAAATAACTTTAATATTAAAAACATTATAATAAAAATAACCAAACATAAGATTGTTATTGTCATATCATGGTATCTAATATGAGACTAATTAGATATCTAGGTCATTAGACAATGAAAGTTTGAAGTGTTTGTGTTACACTAATAACGTCATCTATTGGCACAAGTACAATAACACTACCATTACGAACTTTCTCAATCATAACCTTAATCAAATGAGTAGGAAGAGGAATACTACGTAACAAATTACCCCTTCAAACATCTTCTCAAATGTCACCAACCGGGGGAATCAGTCTTCAACATAAAACTCACACATGATAGGATGACATGTGTCCTCCCCTGATGGTACATATGCAATAGTTGCCTGTTGGGAGAGCCTAGGCTCATCAACAGCTGGTCAAACTACTACCACAAGTTTTGTGTTACATTATTTGTGACCTCCTTTTGAGCTCCTCCCTTAGCTCATCCCTAATTTCCTCCCTTAATTGTGCTATCAGATTATGTATATACTCCTGACTAGGGTCACTAGATGAGGAATACGACTTATGTGTTGCTTAATCTCCACACCTACTCCAGCAGCTCGAGCACGACTAGGGTGCTCGGATCGACCAAAGACATTTGTTAGGATATCATGCCGACCCTCAGGAATAAAGGTACCCTAGGTACATTTCTCAACCAAAGAATCCTAGAACACATTGTAAGATATATTATAATTTTGACATAATAAATGTTATCATAATAAAAAAAACAAGTACTTATAATTCGTTTAGCCGTAAGATGTGACTTCTCAGAAATCTACCCGATTTTTTAAGTCGAGTCTGCTTTTACTTCTTAGACGTGAAGGTGAATATGATGGGTTAAGACTAAAGACATTTGATGAAGAGGCATATCATGCTTTCTCTTTCTCCATCATCATCATGACTTGTTCAAGCTTTTTAATAATCCTCACATGACAATAAGTGAGGGGTCAAATTATGTGTCTGAATAGTATATGTTTTTTTCCTAAAACCATGTTATCAAATACGAATAATGTTATCAATTAGTTCATTATAATTGAAAACAAAGAAATTTATGATTATCTGTCATTTCTCATACTGTCTTATTTGAACAAACTATATCCATGTTTCTTCATCAATCGTGTATTTTGTACAAAAATTTTCATTACTCGCACTAAATACATAATTTGTCATCAGTTTAGACTTAAATTGACGCAATTTTATTGTCACCGAAAAAAGAACATTTAATCTCAATGTCCCAACATAGGGATATCATAATGTATTTATAAAATAAAAACAAAAATAGTTAAGACTCTATAATTAAACAAATTATAAAAAAAATTAATAAATATTAAATTATTTACCAAAATATCTTGCTAAATAATATTTCTCTCAACCTAAAAGATGAGACTGAAATAAAAATTTTCTTAAGAGTTAATACATCGATGGAGCTAACATATAAATCTTAAATACATGTCTTTGTTTTTTTTTTTTATTCATTGAACACGAGAGTCCAAGGATTTACTCATGCTAATATGGCATGACTCAGAATTAAACAAGCCTATATAAGTTAAATCAAGTTCAGAAATTTTAAAGTTTAAGATAATTTTTAACAAGTAATAATATAATTTAAATAAGTTATTATTATATTTTTCTTTACTTTTGATTTGTAAAATTATATTATCTTTTTTATTTTATATTTATATATTTTTATGTAGTAAGAAAATTTCTTAAGATTAAAAATATAGTTTTTTTATGCATATTTTTGGGCTGTCGTGAATCTTAAATAGTTTTAAGTTCGCAGGGTTAGGAGAACATATTGATTTATTCTTAATACCTTGGATAAAGGATTGATTTATTCTTAATTTTATTTTTTATTTCTCTAAATATAAATATTTTATAATTATAATCATTGTGTAAATCATATTTAGATTAAAAAAAATAACGCGGGAAACAAAAAATAACTTTATATATATATATATATATATATATATATATATATATATATAATATAAATTATCTAAATAATCAGATGTACTAAAATGTTTTACTTATTCAATTTTTTATAATTAATTTGTTTTATTTTTGTTCATTCTTTTCATATATCACACTTTTTCGTTTTGCTATTTATATATATGTGTTATATTTTTCTCTCTCATTTTTCAAATGGATAATAATATTCCTATATTGTCTTTTATCTTTTCATTAATAATATTACAAATTAATTATATTTTATTTAATAAAGATAATATTATTTTATAAATTATGACATTGAAAAGTAAAAAAAAAAACTGTTTATATAATGTAATAAAATACGTAAAGAATCGAATTAAAATAGATTGAAGATAACCTAATTTATATATACAAACAAACCATTTGTTTAGTATGACAAAAAATATTACTTTTCATTGTAATAAAACATGTTTACTTTAAAGGTATGATTTTAAAAAGCTATTTTATTAAGAAAATATCAATTAATAATTATATGGGTAGTTTCGTAATTAAATAAATATTTAATTTTAATTTAATTATTTATTATTTTTAAAAATAAACACTTTCTTCTATTTTTATATCATTTTTTCCTTTAAATTAAAAAGAATATTTCTCATTTATTTACCAAATTAGAAATTACTTTACCAAATTACTATTTAACTTAACATGTAGGAACAAATGATACAAAATGAAAATGAAATTTACATAATGAGACATTATAGTATTAATAATTTTAATCACAAAAACTAAGATGAAAATATCCTAATTGTCGTAAGCGGTGGAAATCATATTAAAATCATTAGTCGGCGGAATAAAAAAGAGAAGAACACGAATTACTAGAAGAAAGAAATGAGGAATTTCTCTATCCTTTATTCCAGCAGTCCTAAGGTACAAGGCTACAAAAAGAATGAATGAACGTCAAAACGGTAATCATTGAATTAAGAAAACAATTGGGGGACCGAAGTCCCTAAATTGACCTAAACGATTTATCAGGAAAAAAAATATAACATTTACATGAAAATGACAAACCCAATTCTATGCTCTAGATCACAGAAAAGGCTCTCCCACCAAAGCTGGAAAAAAGCTTGACCTGAGAACCCAAAGGATCACCTTGTCATGCAGATTGCCAAATGTCAGGCCTGCAGAAAGAATATGTATTCTTTTCTATTTGGTTACCTATTTGCCATTGCTTCCAGAATTTTGCCTGTTGTTAGAAAGCCCATTTAGCTTTAATGATGTTAGCAAAGTCAGACTATAAATCCTTCTCCATTAAGTAATCTCAGCAAACAACTTAAAAATTTAATTCTATCTGCTATCCAAGCCCATAAATGAAGGGCATCGAGCTTTAAGGCGCTTTGGAGCAACCTCTATGGAATGCAGCAACCTATCTGTCTGGCAATGATGTCGTCGTCTACTAACTTCCTCATTACTTGTCTTATATCTTACGGATAGGGGAATGCTATTTCCCCAAGCAAATTTGTCCCTCGAGGAAATTTCACCATTAACCTTATGACTAACACCGTGACTATATTTGTAACTCGTTTCCTTGCTTTTGCTCATATCTACAGGTTGCACATTCCTTCCTTCGTGAAGGTCTTTCTTCAATTGTTCGAGTCCCTGCCCCATATACATCCAATATTATATGTCAACATGGCCAATGTATTCGTGCAGAAAGAACTAGATGGTCATATAGATAATGCTGAAAACAAGTACACTCCAAAAGGTTAAATTCTTGACTATACTCTTTAACATATTATCATTTTTATATTAAATAGTAACATAAATCCTTGTGCCACAATTATTTTACATTAAAGTAATGACGTACTCAATTGGTGACATTGTCTGAAACACAATCATTCAGTTGCAAAATACCATACCATGAACGATAAGTTAATTTTGATTTATATAATAATTATCTTAAAAATAATACCAATGATATTTTTTCATGAAAACTTTTACACTGACCATAAATATCTAAAACTCTTCTTAAAAATCATAGTTCAAATATATAACAATACCTGCTGTGCAGAATTTGTTGAAAACGTAGCACCTCTAACATTTCTCCTCTCTGCCTTAAGAGAAGAAGGGCGCTTAACCCTAAAGATCCCGGTATCAGAATCATCACTCTCGTTATCCACAACGTTCTTCTCTAATCCATGAACATGGGCCATATATTTATTAGGGAATTCATACTGAGCAGGGGATTGCAAAGACTCAGAAGCACTATTGGATATTCTTTCACAATTCTCTCCAAAATCAGGACTGACTAATTTAAAGTTAGCATGAGCCTCATCCTGCAATCAGGATAAGGAGAAAAAATGTAACTCCTGATGCAGGAATGTGCAATGACAATATTTTAAACCCATATAGAATGACTTACGATATTGGAAGAGATCTCAGGTGCTTTCGAAAGAGAACGTAGAGCAGATGAAGCAGAAGTTACTTCGGGTCTAGAAACAAATTGACTTCGTATACACTCTTGATTATTTGCTGACAGCTTTGGGGTGGAATAAAAATTAGTAACAAAATCAAATTTCATCTCACAATAAGGTGTGTATCCATTTGCCTCAGCCATCTGGAACATGTTTGACAAAGGGTATGAATAGATGTTTTTGTCACTTTTCATTTGCTTAAGTATCTGTTTCAATATTCCATCTTCCTGCTCAAATCTCTTGGCTGCAGCTTCCATGTCTGACGTATCTTCCCTAAGATAAAGTGTGCGTTTGGTACCACAAGTGAAGTCAAGAGAATCTATTCCTAGATTATCAAATTTAAAGGCATTAAAAACAAGAAATGTGAAAGAAAAATTGAAAAGTCACTAATACCACACGTGTCTATACTAGCTAAATTTTTTCTATTTTTTAACAATAGATTATTAGGTTGTACCACAACATTCTCGCAATACACTCTTTTCTAAACCTATCTTGGGAACAATAAATAATAATATAAAAAAAGCACGTCATGACTAAACTTGAGCGAACTCAAACTGGTCTATTAGTAAAAAGCATAGAGAATATATTACCATGGCGAAGACATACTGGATGTAAGTGACATTCACAGTCAACATACGTCACATAGCAGTCCCGTTTGCAGAGGCTGCAGAGAATTGTACCCTGGGAACGTGAAGAAACACTTGTACATGCCCTTGATTTCATTAAGAGCCAACGAGCACAATGTTGAAAGCGCATCAAATGAACAAAAGAAATCATAACACAATTATGAGATAACAAATCTTCGGGGGAAATGTCTGAATCTTCAAGTTTTAATCTTGCATACATAAGCATTGCTTCTTTGCATAAAAGTTCTTCATGGGGCAGCAAAGGAACTCTGTGAAGAAGTGCATATCTTTGGCTTGCAATAGCTCCTAAAGGAAACCAATCACCAATTGCAAAATTCACTGCTTCTCCACAGTTGAAACCTAAAATTTGATGGAAATATATAAATTATGTTTTGATATAACAATTGGGTGGGACTGTGGAAACACGAAGTATAACATATCCTTTGGAACTAAAATGTCTAAATATCTGCAAATAAATCTTACCATGACTAAAGCCGGCATGATATGCTCTGGGGAAAGTTATTATATAATCCCCTGGATTTTGAACAGCCTTGTAGACAGGGACTTCATGCTCCAACAAAATATTTGGTGGGAACATAGTTGTTTTCCCCAGGAGAACATCAAAAGCTCCATCTTCCCCATCAGTTGACAAAATATCATTAGTATACACGTGCTCTCTTACCACCCTTTCGAATTCCAATGCTGCATGACCTGGAATGCCATACCAAGTTTTTGATGCTCCACAGTGATGATAATTAACGCTGTCATAACAATATAAATATCATTAAATAAACATATGCAAATACTAACCAGTACCCCAAGTTATTATCAAAACTGGAAAGTTTTTATTCAGAATGTTATTATTGATGCACCATTACCATGATTTCCAATTGTCAGTTGTAATGAATAGAATTTAATATTGGTGTTTTTCCGATCCTTAACTCTTGAGAATTGTAAAGTCTTTTATCTCTTTAAATTCCTGAATTAAAGGAGTGATTTCTTCCATTATTAGATTTCTCCATTCAAATCTGTCTACTTTTCACGTTCCCCAATTTATTTATTTTTAAATATCTACCAATTACTCTTTTATCTGATGCCCTTCTAGACACTGGTTAGCAAGACCCTTAACTTTATTAAGCTTATGATGAAGTTACGTAGAAAATAAGTAACATTTACCTATATAAATAATGATCTTCCACGTGCCAAGCAAACATGCTAAACAGCATTCCAATGTATAGCATGGGTTCTGTTACTCCCTGGAATAAAAACCCAAAATATGTCATTGATAAGAAGAAACATGAGTTTTGCCCATTCAAAGAAAAATAACTGCATACCGGAATTGATGTTTCCAAGAGCCGCAAAATCGATTTGGGCAACCACGAAAATTTCTGAGATCATAGACAAAAGTGTACTTCACCAAGTTAACCAACAACAAACTACTAGATCACATTTACCAAAATAGAAAACCAAAAAAAAGTCATGTTCCAACAAATAAAAATAAAAATCTTATTAAAATTGCAAATAAAATTATATCAACATGGGCAAAATTGAAAAAGTGTTCAAATAGTAAACAGGGAGGACTGCATTGCTTGTATGTTCTGCAGCCAAGCAACCCGGGATGAGAGCTCAAAAAAAAAGGAGTGGATTCAATTCAACCTTCTTTGAAGGTCCCATATATCCACTCCTCTGGTTTGCATTACCTATTCTACATTGTTTCCAGGATAGGCAGCACGACTTCAAAAGTAAAGACAGAGGTAGATCATAATAATCAGAAGAAGAAACTAATGGGAAACTAATAAATAATACTTAATGGCGCATAAAGTCAATAAATGCTATTCAGTCCCATTTCATCAACATGAAATAGAGGTAAATTAACTGATACAAACTTTCTAAGAACAAAATTTTACAAAAATAGATAATAGACAATGTACAAGGAAAATCAGAAACATTTTTTCTAAAAATAATACATTTTATTATTGGAAAGATTTTGTTTGATCGTGATCAAGTGAGGAAAGAACAATAATGAGCTATCGCGGGGGCAGTCGAGTTAAAGCAATAGCAAGAAGCATATTTTGTCAGTATTAGTTACTTTTCTGTAAATAAAGTAAATGAGAAGTAAACAAGAAAAGGGGCAAAAAAAAAAAGGAAAAAAAAAAAAAGAAACTAGTTGAACTAAAACCTTCAAATTCCATTTGCTTTTCCCAAGTTGATCAGTGGGCAAAGAAGAAAAGGCACTACCATCAACATCACATGCATATTCAACAGTTTCCATCTTCCCACAACCAATTTCACTCCAGAACTCTTTCTCCAAGTATGTGGCAGGAAGACATCCAGCACTGCAATATCTTTGTGCAAAAGCCTTGTTCGCCATCTTTTCAAAATCACGAAATGTATAATTTCTGATTTATTTATAACCATATTAAATTCCAGAAGTGATTAAAGATAATGGAAATTACAATATTGACATGTACAGAAAGAAAACTGACATCCCACTCATGAAAAACATGACTTTGTCCTCGGTATCCCATTCGGCAAGACGGAGGGGTTGCACTCTAGTTGTAAACTTGAATCCTGCTTGCTCCCTCATTAAAACAATCCCAGCTGGAACAGAAGTACTCAAAGGTGAAATAATCTTGCATATACCTGATGGATCCAAATGGAGTTAAGTTTTAATTCGATCACTAAATTGGTTCCTCATAAATCAAATGTCAGATTTCCAGAGATGCATGGCTCATGTAAAAGATTTAACCACTGGAAATCTAAACAATTGGTAAAATGATATAAACTTGAAATAAAGGTTAAGACCAAGCACTTCAAAATGAGCTTTAGCATATTGTAACCTTTCTAAACAAAAAATGGCAACCATATCAAATTATAGTTAAATCCTGGGATATATAAAGCGCTAAAATCAGTGCCTTTTTGGCTAAAATTAACATAGTGAAAGCATGTATTCAAGTAAACAACTTCTGTACTCAAAGATGCAATGAAGAATTCAATTATTTGGGCTCTGGAGAGCTTTTGATTTTTTGAAGAGCCTTTGTTCCACCTCATAATACTGAAGTATTTGGTTTCCAAAAGCCCATAAAAGGCTCTCACTCAAATATATGATTCTTGAATACAATTCTCAACATTTTTCTGAAGAAAACCAAGTCGCTGTCTCAATACTAGGCTCCAAACATTCCAGTTTTAAGGCAGAAAGGAATGTATTTGAATCAAACTATAATATTCAAATACAACCTGATAGCTTGCAAAAGCAAGGCTAGTTGTCAGGATTGAATGAAACCCAACCACCTCAAATATCCTCTTGAACTATAAATGCAGGCGAGTAAACATGTTGTTGAAAGTCTCACATCGCCTACCTCATGTCATTTGGTATGATTTAAATACATGTTAGGCTACTCCACATATTGCCAATTCGTTTTATGTTGAAACCTTAACATGGTATCAGAATCAAAGCCTAACATTTTTCCGGTTATTGTCATGGGCCAAAAGTTGCCCTTTAGTTGGGTCAAAAGTACCCTTTGTCTGGTTTGGCAGGCTTCGTTGGAGGGGATGTGTTAAAAGTCCCACATCGCCTATCTCATGTCATTTGGTATGATTTAAATACATGTTAGGTTACTCCACATATTGCCAATTGGTTTTATGTTGGAACCTTAACACATGTAAATTCCGCAACATCAAAGTAAAAAAGCATCACCACCTTTGCCTTTCTATTTGTGACTTTCTATGTTGCACTAATGCAAAGAAAATGAGATACTGAACTCACATTTTAATAATTTTAAAGCCATTGGGAAGCAGAAGTTTTAGTGTGTAAAATTAACATGCTCACTCAAGTGAGAAGTGTTCCAGCAAACTAATGAAGAGCTTAATATTAGTTGAAAGTCCAAAGGAATAGAAGAAGCCAAAGTCATCTCCATTATCTCTCTGGTTGCACTTTTTGAAAAGTAATATAAAATTGCAAACATGAGATGGAGTTCAATAACAAGTTTCAATCAAAGCCAACAGCTAGATAAGAAAAGGAATAGCATAGCTTATGAACAAAAAATATGGTGAAGAAGTAAATAGAGACTGATTCAACACCATTGAGGAAATCATGAAGTATTCAATACTCAAAATATAGAAATTTAGGCTGTTTCTCACGAAAGAAGGGAAGGAATCCCTCCACCACGCAAGATAAACTTTACCAAAATGGAAAGCTCAACGCAAGGGTAACCAATATGATACAAACCAGGATATGAAAATGAAGTACCCACCACAGACAAGAATGAAAAGAAAGCATTAGGTACACAAGACAATGTCATTAATTCTTCCATAGAATGCATCAGAATCCATCGTAGAATCTAGACTCTCAACCAAGATACAGTGACTAGCAAATGCATTAAATTGCATTTGGGTCAATGGGATTAGACAAGAGGTTTTGGGTTTTCCAGATTAATGAAAAGAAAAACAAATTTGGAAAATGAAGTTACTCTTTTAAATTTGAAAATTAAAAATTTAACTCTTGGTATAACTGATGTAAATTCAGCAAAGTTCACTTGTACTTCTCATGAGTGGATTTCATCCATGACAGTAGTTTGCTCAACTTGCCATATATGAGAAACAACTGTGTCCAATTTGAAACTTCCATAAAAACACCCTCGCAAATTTATCCTTGAATGATACAACTAACATACTATTTATATATAAACAAATAATTTATATGAAATAAGAGAGGAAAAACTGTGAGAGAAAATTATATCCTCAAAAACTATACACAGAAAAAAAAAAGGAATTAAAAATCTATGAGGGGTAACATTCAACACAATACGCCAAACTCTGTAGGTACACCCTTAATATATTAATTGACAAACAAAGATGAATGTTTGCAAATACAGTTTGAAATGCAATCCCAACCTCAATATTCAACAATCATTTGTTTTAGAGCTTTTTCACATAGTTCTTTCATAATAATATTGTCGTCACAAGATCACAATGCATTATCTTTCACTCTTGAGAACAAACACATGGTGTTGACGATAGGGTTCTCAAGAACTTCTATAAGAAAAAAACTTAATATTTTTTAATACCTCATCTCAATGAGAATAAAATACATCCCATGCAAGGAAAGAACTTTCATTTCTATGATGTAACTTCAACTTTCTTTTTCCTAATTATTAAAATCTTCTTCTGTTTATGCACCAATAAAAGAAGTGAAGGATGCAGCAAGCACATTGGAGAATGGGCACAATTATCAACACCAGGGAAAAGAGAAAACAAAGTTCAAAGAAACATTGTCTAGTGTCTTGATACCCATGTTAGTGAAAGTAAATCCAGTTTCTATTTTTGTTTTTAAACAGAGTATAAGAGTTCGATGATTACTGGCAACTAAATACAGCTCTAAATTTCAGCAGCTTAAAATTTTAATTAATTGCCAAGTAGCAACTGATCACAATCTAATATTCTTTTGGTGTAAAACATAGTTACACTAAAATAAATTATGGAATATCAAATTAAACAATAAAGACATCTGAGGCTATATCTTTGCCGTATAAATTGGCAGTTTGGAATATACACTACCCTACTACCATCACCATTTATGTTTCCACTTTTACACATAATAATCAGTGCACAATCCCTAATCTTCCCGATAAAGCTGCTCATAAGCTTAAAAAGTGATACAGGTAGTGCAATGACAATCCTATACATCTAAGAAACCCTAGTTAACCATATGAACTCAAAATATTAAAGTGAATGTAAATCAAAGATTCAAATAGGGCAATTCATACCATATTTAGAAGCTTCAGGAGCTATTCTTTGCAAATAAAGTAAGGGATCATCAAACTCCTTCTTTGTTGGATAATATACAGGACACTCGGGAATTTGCTCAATCCATGCCAGATCACTTGTGTTAAACTTATCCACCTTCCGCTTGGAAAAGCTACCTGAATCACCGTGCAACCTCATACTATAAGATGCAGAAGCTCTAAGAGCATCTCCTCCACTTCTGTTCATCATGTTAGCAATGTTTGTTGCATTGGCACTGGCAGTAGCAGATTTTGCTCGCTGAAGCCTTTTATGTTTCAAATATTCTAACCCATTTCTAGCTTCCATAGTTGAACGTACTCTTCCTCCCACCTATTAATTGATTCATCATTTAACACCCAAATAAGCTAGTAAATAAATAGAAGGACCTACGGCATGCACAACAACACAAGTATATGAACAAAGTGAAACTCATGAGCTCCATCTACTTACAATGAACTGACAAAAGAAATACAATAAAGCATCATTGGAAGTCTGAATTAAGGTGAAATAAGTTAAACAAAGCATTGCCCTTTAATGCATTCACAATAAACAAAGAACAGGCGTCAATGCATGACACCACTTCTGATGCATCAACTCTCTACTTGGACAGACACACACACAGACAGATAGAGAGAGAGAGAGAGAGAAATGCTCTTTAAAACATGAACTAGTTAGGAATTTAGTCCCTCTAAAGAGAAAAGGTGTATAGAATGAGAAAACCCGAGTACATCCACCGTTAATTTAAAGTGATTACTACTGACTACTGAGGTACTTTATTTTAAATCAAAGTGCATACATACATAATTTATTACTTTACATACTTCCCCACTCCAAACGAGTCAAATCCAACAAGTTAAAACAGCCCGTCCCCACAAAAAATAAAAATAAATGTAATTTAAAAGAAAAAGGAAAAAAAATCTATGCCCTAGGGAGTGCTATCTCACTTTGGCATATTATCATTGAGGAGTCAACAACTAGATGCCTACGATATTTGTTGTGGGGCAATGAAAGTCATAAATAAGTATGAAAGTGTTACGTCAAGACTCCATCCTGGGCCAAACGAAAGTCACAACTTTAAAGTACGAACCGCTAAGACAACAAAAATTGACCCACCGACTGGATGACCGCAACGCCGACTTGGAGAATTTGTCAAACAGAAGCATTTGCATTATACCGGAATTTAGCGAACCGAAAACCCAAATATGGTTAAACAGAAAATCATTTTTTTAAACGTAAAAGAAAATTCAACTAAAGCACGCGCTGATATTTGAACAGTGTCCTCTTCCCAACATCATTATTATTCCCCCCACCTTACTGTAAGCCAAATAAACAATAGGTAGTATAGAACATCTTTAGGCAATACAATGAACCATAACAAGATATTCCAATAAGAAAAGAAGTTCTAGACAAAAACATGTTTAATCCTTGATGGAACATAATGCTCTAAATTCCTATTATAGAAAGACGGGGAGAAATAACACACCAGTCCCTTTCATTTATTTTTATTTTCCTTTAAATTTTCAGAGACAAGTTCAGAATCTCTAACCAATTAGAGAAAAAAAAAAAAAAAAAAGAGAGAAGAAAAGAAAAGAGAGGCCTTAACTGTATAACACAATGTATAAAGAAACACGGGGAAAATCAAGTTACGAGGTTATACTGGAAAAATCATAATCACGGAAACATAAATAAAACGGGACCAATCCACTCCGGACATAGAACAATGCCTGAGATCTGATTGAAGAAACCGAGCAAACGACTCACAGAGTTTGAAGCATTAATGTAATTGATAAAAACACCCAAATTACATGATAAAGCACGATTGACCTACCATTTCATTACGTCGTCGCTCCCTACAAGGCTCCGTCTTTGTTCGCTTGACGAAAAACTTCACAATAATAATAAAAAAAAAAAACAATGAAACAATCACGAATCCAAAGTGCAGAGCCAAACCCTAGATCAACATCCAGGAGACTTCCGATTAAGAGTGAGTCGTGAACAGCATTCAGCCTCGCCACATTCTCCCAGAGCGACGAGTATAAGGTCTAGAAGAGATCCAAAGCCTTCTGAGCAAAGTCAGCAAATTGTGAGTTAACGCGAATAGCTCAATCAGAACGCAGGAATTAGCAAACTCCGTTGCCGCGACCAATCGGCGGGAATAGAATGAGTTTTCCGGGCGGTGAAGAGGTTTTGAAGGGAAGGAGAGAAAACAGTGGGTACGAGGGAGAAGGTGGAAAGGGAATGCTTGGAAAACCAAAAAAGTAAAAGGGAGGGATAATAATTTATAGTTTGTTATATTATATCATACTATACTATATTATAAAATCATATATTATATATGTTCCAAATATTAATGCAGGGAATCAAATATTGACTAATTATTCGTTTCTCTCGCTTAAATAAACTCAGAAGAGAAACGTGAACACATAGCGGTAGTTGTAAGGTTGGTACGGTTTAAACAAAAAACCTTGCCGTGAGTTTCGGGAGAAATACATAGCGATGAAACGCATTGCGTTTCATGTACCTTAAGTTCATGGTGGCGCGTGGGTAATATTAAAGCAATAAGACTAATGTTAGGATTTTCTTGAGTTTTGTTTTATTTTTGGCTAAATAATTCTTAAAATTATTATGTAAAACGAAAATTTTAACTCATGATTTTAATTAACTAGTTATTAAACGAACATTTTTAGTCTTATAGTTCAATTAATACTTTATTTATATTCATTGTGGGAATTGTTTCAATAAAGCCTTAATATGGGTCAAAATTAAAATTAATTTATATAAATTTATTAATGTTGTTCAAGAAAAAATTATAATAAAAATAAATGAGTTCTAAATTTAATAATAGCTCCATTGCACTGATTGTCTTAGTTATATTTGTATTATGAATTAATTTAAAATATATAGTATTTATTCAAATACTATAAATAATTTGATTTAGTTTTATCTGGTCTTTAATTTTTAATATGAAATTTGAATAAACTGATTAAAATAAAATTCAAAAAATAAAAACAGAAAATGCGTTATGGTTTTTACACGAGGGTAGCATGGAACCTTTGAAGGACATGGCGTCGTACAGTGTAAGTATCAAATTCTTTGAGTTAGTTAAATTTTAAAAAATGGCCTATTTTGTCTTTTTGTTGAGGTTGGTCTGTCAATAAATAACAGTTCTGACTTTATGAGATTTGTTTTGAATGAGATGGTGATAGCTAGCACAAAGAGGAGTGTAAACTAATATGAAAATAATAAATATTGATATTTTACAATCTGTAAGTAATTAGATAATTAATAATTTCATATAATTAATAAATAATTTAAATTAATAAGTTATATTTTTATATACGATACATGTACTATATTTGGGAAGTCTAATATGTAGTGAATTGTCTTTTAACAAGATGAACTTAAATAGTTAAACCAAAATAGATAGAGAAAAGATGTTTAAAATAAATTAGGTCTTTTTATTTACATTTTTTATTTATTTACGTCTACTATGAAATTATACATTCTCGCATATTAGTCTTTTTATTTACGTTTTTGAAACAAAATGAGCGTTGTAATGCATTTAGATAGAAATATAATATAGTAATGTCATATTATCTTTGTTTACACGAAACCCTTTTTTTATTCTTGTACTAGTTAAATATGTTGTTTTATTAGAGTTGTTGAGTTTATAATTTATATTTTTGTTATTCTAATTTTTTAATGTATATAAGTTATATTTTAATTTAAAAATTAAGTTAACAAACAAATTATATATATATATATATATATATATATATATATATATATATATATATATATATATTAACATGTGAATTTACAATCAATTGTAGATTATTGTGATTAAGAATTTAACTAATTGTTTTAAGATTATATTTGGTGTTATATCTAATAAATGATAAATTAAGTTAGTATAAATTTGGTTTTGTCTAATATGTTGTTGTTAAGTATCACGGTTTTATGTCCGTTATGATAGTATTGTTAAGATTAATTATCATGTATATAAATTATCTTTGATTTCGACCCTTAAACGATGCAAGACTTATAACATATCAGAATATAGACCCTAATTGTGGACTAAGGGATATGAATGAAGTAAGACTCGATTCTCGACCTCTACACTGAGTGTCAAAGTTTCATTTAGAAACGAGAATGTTTCGACTTCATATGCGCTATGATAATATTATTAAGGTCAATTCTCATATATAAGACATTGTACGTTTTAGAGCGTTTGTCCTTAAAAGGCGTATTAATGGATTAAAAGAGGATAGTATATACATAATTTTTTCTTAACCTATAGAGATGCATTTTAAGGAAAAAATCGTGATAAACTAGAGTTCAAAAGTGGATAATACCTTAGACATGAAAATTAACTTTAACGATGTTATTATAACAAACATGAGGGCGAAACTTTGGCGCCTACCGTGGGGGTTGAGAGACGAGTTTTACTCCACTTATATCCCTTAGTATACAATTGAGATTTATGTTTCAGTTCACTTATGAATTTCACATCGTTTAAGAGTTGATACCAATGGTAGTTTATATACATTCTAACTTAAAGGACAAAATCGTAATAGACGAGAACTCCAAAACAAACAATACCTTTTAAGAGTTCTAACTTTATTATTATTATTATTATTATTATTATTATTATTATTATTATTATTATTATTATTATTATTATTATTATTATTATTAAAGAACAAATTAGTTCATTAATTAATTAATTAATTAATCTAAAATTTGGATGTTCTTGGTTATTATTTTTTTAATTTAATAAGTGAGTTATGATTTTAGATAATTAAATTATAATAAAAATAGGAAATAAGTCTTTAATTATATATATATATATATATATATATATATATATATATATATATATTACATTTAATTATGTACCTATTTTTATATTATAACTAATTAAGTAATGTCTCTATTTAGATTATTTGGGAAGATTACTACTCTTAAATGTTAAATTATTATTCCATTAGAATCAATAATTTAAATTTAATATACAAATATTCATTATTTAAATTACAACTTTACTACATATTTGAAGGACTAATAAAACCAAATTTTCATGGTGATATCATGCTTGAGAAATTTGGTTGATTTCAGCCATGCAAGCCACGGTTTTAGCATAAAGAAATGTAGACAATTGTGGCCCAGGCAAGTGCTTAGGAACTAAAATTTTCAGTAGATGTGGTTAGGTGTCAACTTCTTCGGCCATGTGAGACAAATGGAATTTATATTGTAGTCTTCTGTTGCCACCACTGCGTCTAATAGAACGCGTAATAGCAACAAAAACACAATGTGAAAAAAATCATTTTGGAATTTTATTAAGAGCTCCTAGAAAAAGACTATTCCTTCTGCGACGTTAATGGTTTGTAAAAAAAACTTGACGGACCATTTCCTCAATTTTCGGATTTTGTTAGAAAAAAATGTATGAAAATCAATAAAGTGCATTTTACTTGATAACAAAAAATATTCATTCGTTTAGTCCTCAGTTTCCTCTGGTTTCACAAAGAATTCAATATGAGCTATTCTACCCGGTTGCTGATAGCCAACTGCATCGACATAGGTGTGTGACACGGATGGTTTGGCAATTGAAACCAGATGCTGAACTTTTAACATTCCACCTCTCCCAATGCTTAACTTACTTCCTCTATTTTCTTTAATAACACTGCTAGGCATGTTAGAAGTTGTTGCCCTGAGAAACTTATATTTGTACCTGTTGACAAAATGCAAAGTAATGACAGAATAATTTCATTGCAAGAAAATGACAACTAATGCAAAAAATAGTTTTAAAAAAGAAAAAATAAATATTACTTGAAAGAAGTTCGATGATCACATTGAAATGCTACCAAGAGTTCTGAATTGACATAATACATGAAATCTATCTGAAAAAACAAAAAGAACTGTACATGATCATTTAATATTTCGAAGCAACCAACATCTGATCATTTGAGTAGAAAACAACACAAACCTGTAAGTCTCCGTGTCCTTCAGCTCTTAATGTAACAGAAGGAGGATCTGGCTCTAGAATAATCTGGATGCTTGATCCAGGCCATTCAAGATCCTCAATAGCTTCCTTTAGTGCTGCAGACTGGGTTTAGATCAATAATCAGAATATAAGTTAATATTATACAAAAGAAATATCTTTTGTTCACTAGTATCAACTTTAGGCAGTGTATTTTCCATAGAATATATATTTAGAATTGACAAGAGTATAAAATCATGCTTATCATATCAAAGGGTTCATAGACAGCAACTTATTGGACTGCATATTCCAGAATTCAAACGCAACAACTTTTATTTTATGAATGCAGAGTGTAAAAAATGAGTCAAATGTCGAAGATAATAAATCATGGAAGCAGCATTTGAATTTGATGTGTGAAATTGATAGCATACTTTAACAGTAAAGGTTAAAGGGTTGGCCCCTGCAGGTTCAAAATTGTAGTCCCACCCAATTGTATCTGGAATCCTTGTTCTGATCTCTGCACAAATACTGGAATCCAGCGAATCTACAGATCTAAAGAAGTGGGGAAAGTGTATTAAGGATAAAGACAAGACAATTATACGAAATGTTGCATTGATTGTAGAGCCCTAAAGAATTGAGCTATCAAGAATCATTTTGAATAAATCATCATTATGGCTATCAAAAGAATGGAGTAACAAATTCAACCAGAAGTTCATACTTGACAAAGAAAATTATATATAAAAAAAAAAGGAAAGGTAGAAGTTGTCCTTTGATTATGTGAAGGGAAGGGCATTGGACTTAGAATTATACGAACTAGTTTCTTCGTTCACAGTAATAATAATTTTATACCCTGGAAGGGCATAGACATTTAATTTACTGAACAACGTTTATGTCACGTCTGTGCACCATAATTTACTTTTAATTCCCTCTATTTGAAAATATTTTAGGCTGGCCTTGTATTTGCAGAATTCTGCTAGTGTGCTTTTTGATTGCTATTATAAAAAAAATGCATTTTTCATCCCTTAATTTCATTAGGAGTTCATTTCCATCCAAAAACTAAATTCTCATTCATTTGTCACAAATATTTCCATAACCAACCAAATATTTTTCAAGCCACAAATATGTTGGTAGGCAGACGGAACTTGTTGATTTGACTTACGTACACAGACGTATAATAGACACTGCATTGTGTGTGGACTATATGTTGATGGGTCTCACGCACTTAACCACATGGTTCAGTTCCATCCCAGATTTGTCAAAACCACAGATTTTAGAATAAAATCCCCAATTGGCAAGGCAATTGTTCACTTGCACATAGGATGCCATGGAAGCATCTTCCACTAGCATTTATAACAGAGTTTGGTAGGACAAATTTGGTAGGTTTTGGAAATATATAGGATGAAAATGAAACATGTTCTATTTTCAAATATTTGTGTAGGAAGCGTGTAAAGAGAACTTTGTTGCTTTCCCTATGTTGTTTTTACCTTGTAAAGACATGATCCAATGTACTACCTGTGGTGACCACAGGCTACAACATGACCTTGCAACTCGCAGGTGCCACTGTAGTACCCAATAAACTATCATCCTTAGCATCATTTGATTTAATCCACACCTGTGAAATTCACTCGTTCCTTGACTAATATCTTCAAATTTATGCAGGGTTAGGACCATAACTAACTGAACTTATGTTTAATGACTAAAAATATAAAGCTAATGGCCATGACCAATGATGAGTTCCTCGTTTGTTGCAAACAAACATTTGCAAAAAACATACCACGATTCCGGTCATGATGCTTTTGAAAGTTAATATTTGGCTAGGAGTTAGTAAAACGTGGATTAAGTTCTAATCAGACATGGCAGAATTTAAGTCAAGAAGGAGATTTATAGGAAATAGACATAATGGGCTGGATCACTTTCTTTGCATGGACATGTTTTGTTAGTTATATTCCTGAAGTTGAAGAGCCATTGAGGCTTAGTTACTTTGCTTAAAGCAGATCATTTATAAAGCAAGCACAAATAAAAGCTTGTTCAGTTGCCATGTGCCTGACAAGTGAAAAAGGTAGAGAGTATTGTTTGTTTACGAGAGGGGATATAAGGAGCCTAGGAACAAGAATTGATATACTGTTAACCTCACTACACAAGAATTTTATAGTACTGTTTCTTCTCTCACTCATGTATGAGTTAAATACTGTGTGCGTGCACATCTTGTTATATGTTATCATTTCTACCCATTGAAGTGGTGCTAACAAAAATCTCCATAGCTTCAAGGATTGATCCAAATCATAAATGAAAAAAAGGGAAGGGAATAATTAGTTACACACTTGAGAAGAAGCTGCATGTCAGGACCTGGATATTGAATCTGAACAACGCTGAATTGACCAGGAAGCCAGAAGGCGTTCAAGCAATCAACGAAATGCCCTAAACTCACTCCCAAACGAGGTCGTCCTCGTGCCTTGTAATCGTAGCGAATGAAAAGCTGCAAATAAAGACCACAATCCCCTGAATTGAAATAGGGAGAAAGAAGAAAAAAAGAACCCAATACATAATAATGGAATCGATTAAAGAAATTGGCACCTCTCGTTTGAGATAAACCTTGGCTTGGAGGCAACCGTTTTCGTCGACGATCAAAACGATGCCGTGTTCCGACAACTCCAACACAGCGTCCTGAGTAGGTCGTTAAGGAGTGAGTTGTCGAAAATGAAGGAGTGGGAGGGGAGGGGGTTTTTTGTTACCTGGTAGCGCTTCCACCGAACGGCGGTGAGGGCTTCCACTAAGCCTTGAACGTTTTCTAGCTCGCAGATAACGTCTGGGGCTTCCTCCTCCTCCATGCCCGAATGGCTCATTCTCTTCCCTTCCCAAAACCCTTCTTTTCCTTTCTGTTACAAATTCCACTCACTACTGAAATGCAAGTTACAACCTAAAACTTGAAGCACACACTTTCATTGCAGAAATTTACTACACTGGTAAACAACGTTATGGAGAAGATTTTTTAGGTAAATCCTAGTTGTAAAAAAAAAAAAAAAAAAAAAAAAAAAAAGAAGTGAGTTGAAGCGCACATAGAGAGCTACTCTCATAAAGTTCATATTCCCCCTGGTTTCGGTAGTTTCTTCCTCAAATTATAGAATACTCTTTTTATGTTCATTTATTTTAATAAGAACTTGTACCTTAATAAATAAATAAATATAATTTTTTTTTATGTTTTTTGAAATAAATTATTATGTATTATTATTAAAATATAATTTATTCTTTTAAAAATAAAAATTAAATTATATTTTATTTTAATATAAAATATTTTGATGTTGAATAAAAACAGATTTTATAATATTTTATTTAAAATATTTTCCTATACATGTACTTAAACATTTTATCGATATTTGTTATATTTTTCCTTATTTATTTTTCTATAATAACACTATCATTGTAAAATTTACAATTTTTTTAAACGGTATCACTTATTATTATAAATGTCCATTCATTTTTAACAAATTTAAGAGAATCATCAGTTTAGGTTTAAAATATAAATAATAGTACTTTTTTAAGTGTTTCATGAAGATATAAATACTTTACTCAATTCACTTTAATGTTAATGTGAATACACAAATGGTTAACTTAATTATATAAGTTTTATAATTAACAAGTTAAATTATTATATATATATATATATATATATATATATATATATATATATATATTTTTTTACCTTTGAATAGTTTTTTTCTTAAGAAACGTTACTTATACGACATCTGTGTTTATATATGAGCAATGTAAATCGTTTGCTTAAATTTTAAATTTTGTTAGGTAACATTAATAAATTTCAAACAACTTTTGTATTGGAGATGGTCTAAGAAGTTTTTGAAGTTTTCTAACATTTTTAAAGTTGAGCAAATTGAATTATATTCGTATGAAATAAAGATATATTTAATTTGTGTTTTTTATTTTATTTCATTTTAGTTATAATTTTTAATCCTTACATTTTGAAACAAATCTAACATTATTTTTTTTTATCATTTTTAGTTTTTAAAATTAATAAATGATTTTAATCCATTAAATTTACTGTTCAAAAATAAAATTTTATGAAAAACCATTTTAGTTCTTCTAAGTTAGAATTTAAGAATTAAATATTTTTTAAATTTTGAAAGATTTTATTTTTTAAATTTGAATAACCAATATCAGATTTACATAAAAAAAAACTAAAGATGTAATAAAGTTTTTAAGCAAAAAGAAAAATTAAATGAACCAAAACATATAAAAAAAACTTATGTATTGGAGATGGTCTAAGTTTTCCAACATTTTTGAAGTTCTCTGCTGAGGATCTAAGAGCCAATTGAATCATGAAATAAAGATATATTTAACCTGACTTTTTTATTTTAATTATTTTTTTAATCCTTACATTTTTGAAATAAATCTAACTTAAATTTTTTTCTCTCATTTTTTGTTTTTAAAATTAATAAATGATTTTAATCCATTAAATTTACTGTTCAAAAATAAATTTTTTATGAAAAACCATTTTAGTTCTTCAAGTTTAGAATTTAAGAATTAAATATTTTTTAAATTTTGAAAGAATTTTTTTTTTTAAAATTTGAATAGCGAAAATCAGATTTACATCGAAATTAAAAAAGCTTAAGATGTAATAAAGTTTTTTAAGTAAAACGAAAAATTAAATGAATCAACACATATCCCAAAAATACATAGTGCCACTCTCGCTCGCCAGCGTCTCTCTCCATTATCAATGGTTGCTTTGTTAAAATTATAGTACCAGATGCTACTATGAGTTCACAATTAAAATTTCGCCAAATATAAAGAAAAATCAATATCAGTCTACAAAAAGGCAATTAGTTTTAGTCTTATGTGCCCAAAATAAACCAAGACTAAACAAAAAGCATTTTAGTTCTGAGTGAGCAATTGTAGGTATAATTAGTACTAGAAACCATCACTCATTGTTGGGGCTAAGGTTACCTTGAACAATATGAAATATTAATGTACATTTTCATAATACAATCAATTTTTTTTTGCATCAGAAGAAAGTAGGCCCATCTGCTCAGTCAGTTGGTCCATATGTTGAGATTTTCCCCATCCATTTTCCATTGGCTGCACCCCATTCTCATTGAATTCTTGAGCACCATTCGTTTCAATATCATCCCAAAAGTGAGGATTGTTCAACAAATCATCGATGTCTGCTTCAGGTGAAATACTATCAAAATCAAGGGGCAGTGACAAATTCACGCCAAATGAAGTAGGGTCCATATATCCCTCACTACCCGTCTCTGCTGCCATATAATTTTCTTGAGGAATATCAAGGATATTTCCTGCCACTATATCTGGTATTGTAGAAAGGTCCGTCATGATTTCATCTGTTTGAGTAACAGGGATAGCAGGTGCACTAGGTTCTCCAACTGAAACATTTATATTAGGATATGTAACTTCTTCACAGGCTGCAACTTGCCGAGAAGATAGAATCTCAGATTTTCCAGTTGAAGGACCATGCCCTTTAGTCCTTGTTGCAGATGAAACGTGAGAAGACTGTACTGTCGTTGGGGGGGCCTCTTGAAGTGTTAACCCAGAAGACCGACTCAAAGGGTTTCCCCTGTCCATTGCACTGGACGGTGATGAATCATCACCAATCAAGTAATTATCGGGGTTATTACTAAAAGATTCTAGTCGAGAAGCATCCAATTTCATTATTTGCCTTAACATTGCTTTTGCTGCTTCATTTATCAGAGGTTGATATTTAACAATTTGCCCATCAGAAGTGGCGGTTTGTTCTGTTTCACTAATACCTTCCTGCTTTAGTCGACGTTTTTTGTTCGCTTCTGTTATGCGTCTATTATTCTCATTCTGCTGCTGTTGTACAAATTGAGCTAAGAAACCAGGGCTCTGAACAGCCTTTGCAAGGAATGACATCATCTGTTGCTGTCGTTGCTCCATTCCCTGAAGGCGTTGAACCATGGTCTGCAGCTGGTTATCAGTAGATTGTTGCTGCTGCCTCAATCTCACAAGCTCTTGCATGAGCACATTCTTATCTCTCTTGAGAATCTCAACCTCTTCCTCAAGTCCAAATTTCCCAACTTCTACACAAGCCCCAATCGATGAACTCTGTCCATGTCCATGTACTTGTTGTGCTTGTTGATGATTATGACCATGGGCAGGTTTCCTCCGAGATATAGTCTTAAGCAAGTGCTTTTGACCCCTTAAAAATCCCTCGTTTGCAAATTCCCAGCGATCTGGATCTACCTTCCTAAAACCCTGCTTAATGATGAATTGTTGTAAGAAAGGAAAAGGTCCCAATGAGGACAAATGCAAAACTTTTTTTTTTTTTATACACACAACATAATAGTTGGCATGCACAAACAGTAGAGAATGGGGAAAGGTGAAATGACAGACTGTAATATACAGATAAGATGCAACAGTATAGCAAGAGGTTGCAAGAGTGGGCAACAAAACAAAGTAATTCATTAAACCAACACCCGCATCACATACGTTCCTCCATGACCCGTGACTCACGGGGACTAGATTCTTAGCGAAGTTGTTAATACCACATACCACTGCAGAGCAGCCTACCTCAAGACTATATACAAGATAATCTATTTATTATTTATATGTTACACACTAACGTAAAGACAAACATTGCCGTCACTGTGTGTCCACATTTCTATTACTTTAAGTTTGATATATATTATAATAATTCAATGTTATCTGTTTCTTTAACCTAGTCCGCACATTATGAATCTACCTTCAAAATTTTGCAACAAATACAGAAAAAAATTAAGCCTCTAGGGAATATGTAATTGAAAACAATATTTTCAATAGTAAAATCAAATATTGAAAAACAGAACAAATAACTTTGACAATTATTATTTTAGTGGACGATCATTGTTTCAACTTTACTGATATACCATCTACCAAAAACTTTTATATAGAAGTATGCAAATTACAAATAAATTTATTTCACAAAAACTGGTGTCAGAGGCAAAGCTTATCTATGCCGTTTTGATACACCTTCAAATAAAAGATGTATTGTCCAAGCTGTCAAAATTTGCCTCTAGTCCTTAAATTGCAATGAACCAATAAAATTTATTCGAAAAAGTAACAATTGAAAGTCGCAAAAAAACACTATTGAGAATAGAGGAAGATGCTTAAGTGGAAAAGAGATGAGATATATAAAAAAGAGAAACAGAAGATGTGAGAGTAGAAGATACGAGAGATATAATACAGATAAAGTGGTGCGTAACCACTTTGCGGTCTCTCTAAAAGATAAAAAACCACTGTTGTTACATCTAATTAAAATTTAAAATTAGAGGGTATTAGCATTATGATTATTTATTTTCATCGGTGAACTTCTACAATTACAAAATAAATAAAGATAAAGATATCCTAAAAAAAGAAGTGTACACCCAAAAAATTATATCATCTTTATTTATTGTTATAGATTGATATGAATCACAAGGGATGATTTAGGATCTTTAAGATTAGAACCTTATAGGAAATTTAGGAATTTAGATATAAGATGGAAAGAAAGAATCACTCTTTCCAAGGAAGACAACTCACAAAGGATGTGAAAGTCCTTTGATACAACAAAGTGTTCTTGAATCACTCAAGAACTTACGAGAATCACTCTCACTAAGATAAAAGAGATAAATTCTAATATTTCTAAAAATAAAACTCAACTTGTTATTTCGATAAAAATGATTCAGCTTGTAAAGAAACTTTGTCATCAGAGTTACAAAGATTCACTAAAAATTGTAACTGAAATTGTGGCAACCAAAAGTCAATCAGCTATGCACCTTCCTAGTCTCCCAAAAACTGATAACTAAATTTTCAATTGGACCCTTATCACAACTTGTAATAAAATCAAACTAAAGTCCATTAATTGATTAATCCAAAACACAATTTGGTCAACCAACAATACTTGTTAAAGAGCTTCTTTTGTTTCCCTTGCTCTAGCCCTTATCATAAGTCATGTTCACATCATAGATTGTAGATAAATGCCCAAAAACAAGAAAAATATATCCAAAATTAAATGCCATCTTCATAACTAAAATAAAAAATCATTAGTGAGATAACTAATATGCCACCAACAAAAATCAAGAAGCGTTAAGTGAAATTTTCGGTATCGATCCATCATTAATATACTAACGAGCCAAAAACAGAAGATAATGCCATACACACCTAAACCAGAGAGGGAGAATGTGATGCATTAATCTGAGCATGCAAAGGGGATGTACAACAAACCACAAAATCTCACAATCAACAAGATTTCGGAATTGAGATTATTTACTACTACATATAAGCATACACACCAGCAAGGTTGTCAAACTCAAAATTTTACTTAATGTTGTGAAGCTTTTACAAGCTCAACTCCCAAGAGTTTACCTAAGATGAAATATTTAAAAAACTTAGACACATAAACATGGACCAACATGCCTGAAAATATGATGGTTGACAGTTATCATTTGATGTGGCTCCAAAACTAAGATCCATCCACAGGGTTGTTAACGTGTCACAAACTATGGTTATACAAAATTTAGAAGGATAAAGCTATATTGTGCACAAAACTATAAATCAATTGTGTAAACTAAATCAACAACTTTGAAAATACAATTAGTGCAACCCCAAAATAAGCCACAACAACAGCAGGTTAAGAGTGATCACAATTAAATAATCTTTTGAACGTTACCCCCTAAGCCTAGGGCTTACCAGCTTGGAAGTGACCCAGCAATATATCTAGGATAAATTTGATGTCCTCTTAAAAGTTGGTTTTAAACCTAACTCAACTGCACAAGGCTAGGACCATGAGGACTGCCCAAGCTTTATAAACTCTATTTTAGTCATATATCCAGTTGATATCAGACAAACCAGTATCTTTGTGGCTGTAATTAAGGAAACTCTAAAGAAATTGTAACTAAATCATGCGAGGTGTAACCACAGTTAAGGCAGCTTTCCAACACAATATAACCCTGATAACTCAATGTTTTGAAACTACTAACTATGCTTAATTGAGTGCAAGGCTACCACACCGAATAATGTTATAGATTTCTCATTCCTCTCATTAAAAAATAAAAAATAAAAAATTAACTTGCCCCAAAAAATCAACAGCCAAGCCACCAGGTCTTTTTTTACAAAACCCTAATCCTCAATTTCCATACATAAAGAAAATAGAAACTCTGACTTAAATAATTTTTCATACTCTAAATGAAATTACACATTCATCCTAGTATAACCATCCTACAATCAAAATTTAAAGCAAATCGGATTTATTCACTCTCTAGGTTTTTTGCACCGAACATAGACGCATCCCCTCAAAATAAAGGGCCAATCAACGAATAAGAGTCGGGTCATCACACGAATAAACAAGCAACCAAGTAACTTATCTAGCAAAGATATGTTTCTTTACACATTCCCCTCAGGCGCTCAATCCCAATCAACAAGAATCGCAAGACATTCATTCTTCATAATCATCAAAAGAAAAAAACTCATAAATTTAATTGCGTGATAGGCCCAACTTATATCCCAGAATCACACTCTTTTCTAAATTCTTGGAGACCTTTTGAAACATTCTGAAAGATCTTTCGTAATAAAAGAATAGCAGTCACTTCCTCAATTTTAATTACAACTTCAAGACAAACCGGCCACTATCTACATCAGCTGAAACAACCCGAGGACGAAAAAATAAAGAACAATTAAAGGCAAAATCCAAACAAAGAAGAAAAACAAAACCCCCAATTTCCCCTTTAACTCGAGGAAGGTCAATCAAATTGACAATTACTAATAAAGCACAGTTCTTGAGGTGAAAACGAAAGTAAGAAGGGGTTTGCTTACGTAGGTGTTTAACTGGCGAACGAAGCTGGAGAAGTTATTGTGCTTGAAGTGTTTGGGCAAAAGGTCTCTGGCGAACTCGGGAGGGTTCCAAACAATGAAGCTGTTATTCGTTGGGCCCCACGACACAATCGAGTCCGTCGAAGGGTCGTCCACCATGTCGTACGTCTTGCTCAGGAAAGGCGGGGGCGCGTTAGCGTTGGGAATCGGTGCCGGCGCCGGCGTCGACACTTCTCCGCCGCTACTGCTCACTCCGTCCATATCTCAACTGGATAATATAAAAAAATTGGAGCGAAAATCAAAGAAATAAAAAGAATGTTGGGTTGGTTTAAGTGTAATCTTCTATTCTATGGGAGTGAGAGAAGAAGAAACTTAAACCCTAGCTCGAACCTGGGGATGCAAATTATGAGATATATTTATATACTATTAGAAAACTAACAAGTGGGAGAAATTTTACAGACGACAGAGATGACAATGGGGTCACGATTCAAAATGGCCTTTTATTTATATCCCGGTGGGATTGAGATCGTACGATATATTTTTTTCTTTTTATTTTTTTCGAACAAAATATGTTTTAGATTTGTCTGTTCTTATTTTATATCGAAAAACTTACCACGTATCAATTTCAAACAGCACGGGAAATGAAAATGCGTTATCAATTTGAATTTGTAAATTTCTCATTTTTATTATATAATATAATTTTTACTAAATGTTATATTATTAATAATTTTATATTAAAAGATGGATTTTATTGATATAATTTTATTAAAATGGTTATATATATATATATATATATATATATATATATATATATATATATATATATATATATATATATATATATATATGTAGACCCCAAATCTTGCCCCGCCTCATAATAAAGATCAGAAGACCTCATTTTCGAAGATGGATGAAGCCTAAGAAGCCACTAGGAGAGACTATTAGGCTCCATACTAGGATAAGAGAGATTTTTGGCACAAAAATAAGGATTTTCGCCTTTTAAGGTCGAGACTGCCGTCCCAGATTCGGGACCGCCGTCTCGCCTTGCGCAAATGGCGAGACCGCTGTCTCACCAAACCTTGTCAGACGAGATGGCCCGTCTCGACCTGACAGACGCGAATCCCTATAAATAGGGCCCCCATTCCCCTCATTTCCACGGAGTTCTTCCTCCTTCTCTCTAGAAATCTCTTCAAATCCTCTCTCTAGAACCCCTCTGAAGCATTTTCGGAGTTTCTGAGTATTTCTAAGAGTGTTTTTGAGCGTTTCGAGAGGTTTCCGATGCTGTGTAGAGTGAAGGGTTGCCGCAAAGCACCCTATTTTCAGAAAGAATTAATAGAAAACGTGCATCGGAGGTTTCTACACCCTCTCTCTCTCTTTTATCGCTTTATTTCAATTATGCAATAGATATAGGGCCATGTAGTCATAATCTTTAAATTCCGCAAATAAAAGGGTAAAAGCGTATTTTTCGGTTTATTTACTCAGAATAGCTGGCATATCATAGGGAACCCGAAAGGGGCGTCGTAAAGGAACTAACACTTCCTTTACGCGTAACTAACTCCCTTACCCAACTCTGGTTATAATGACCAAAGTTGGTTTTTCGAAAACCAACGCTTTTTAAACCCCTTTTCCGATGTTTCCGGTAAAAACATCGGTGGCGACTCCAGAAGAATCCCTTCAAAACTAGCTCTTGGATTAGCCCGGTTATCGGACAATCCAAGAGCGCCCTTTCGAAAACCTCGCCTCTAGGTTCAGCCCGGTTATCGGACAACCTAAAGGCGTTGTAACCACACCAATAAAAAACGCGAAAATTGGAAAGTCGAAACCATCGCGTCGCTCCGATCGCCTCGTTTTGACGGCGGCGACACATGGCGACTCCATTGGGGAAGCCTAGAGAGCTAATCCCATTTAATGATGGGCCAACTTAAAAGTAAATAAACCAAGAAAATTATGTTTTTACCCTACCTTGTATTATAACATGTTTTTATTGTTTGACTTTAATAACTGTTGTTTATTTATACTTACGCAATTGTTTGAAATACAAACTGTACACAAACCCTTGCACACAACAGTTCCCTCTATACCCGGGGGCAAGTGAGAAATCCATAGGGAGTGGGTGGCAGGTACAGTTCGCTGTAGTGATGGCCTTGTGCCCACCGGTGTGATCGGAAACCACCACTCAAGGTGATAACCTTCCTCTTTTGGCACAAAGACTGACTATGGCCTTAGTGCTAAGCATGGTCGGAAGGCTGGAGAGTGGGGACCCTATAATGGGGGCACCTTGGGGGCCTTAGCCTTGGTGAGAACAGTTAGAACCTACCTTCGCCAATGCACTTTTCTGCAAGAAAACCCTACCTCGTGATTAAAAATGACTTCTCGCCTATTCGTGGATGATCGAATTGTGTGTGCATACGTTTGCTGCATTTGTCTGTTGCATAGCATAAACAAAACAACAGAAAAATCACAAAAAAAAAAAATATTTTTACAATAAACACCCTTATCTCGGACAGTCTGCCTTTAAGCTAGCCTGGTTTCAGGTTCTTTGTAAGCTAAGTAGTCACGCAGTCCGACAGAAGAGATAAGGGACGCTAACTATTCTTTCGCATAAAGCCATGTTTTTATCTCGGACAGTCTGCCTTTTAACTAGCCTGGTTTCAGGTTTTTTGTAAGCTAAGTAGCCACGCAGTCCGACAGAAGAGATAAAAGGCTATAAAATAAAAATAAAAATAAACAAATCCAAAATAAATAATAATAACAAGATTAAAACATTTATAAAATTTTTTGACAAAGTCGTTTCATCCATATTACATCATATCATGAGTAAAGAAAAACCAAAAGAGAAAATAAAAAGTGAGAGCGCATTTAGCATCATTTAAACAGAATCTCTCATGCATAAACGCATCCATACTAGTTCAACACTCAACATATATTTAATAAATTTCTTCCGGGCATTCTAGAAAGTGGTTGGTCCTCTCCCCACCCGAACTCGTGCGCAAAAGGCCAAAGCAATGGAGAACCTGGAAGAACAAAACCGAAAGCTCACTGCAGAGGTTAATACCCTCCGCGAGCAAGTGGCCCAACTGATGGAGGTTGTGCGCCAAGGTCAGAACAAGGGCGAAGCCCAAACAGAGCACGCCTCTCGCCACGAAGAAGAGGAAGAAGAAGAATACTTCTACGATGGGAAGGATGCTAAGACTGCACGCATCCTCACCCCAGAGGTATCCAAACAACAAATCTCCGCCCTAGAGGAAAGGCTGAAGGCGGTGGAGGGGCACAACTTTGACGTCAAGGAGGTGGCGGACATTAGGGTTTAGGGTTTAGGGTTGTGGACCTCAAATCTTGCCCGACTCTCCAATAAAGCCAAAGATAACCCGTTTTAAAGATGGTCAAGACTTTATTAAGTTCCTAGTAGCTTTGTCTAGGTGGTTGTCTTCTGCACTTTTGTTTTGATTGTTCCAGACCCATTGATAGATTAATACAATTCCTTTTTGTTTTCTGCTGCCATTACCATCTTATAATTTTCCATTTCTACTCCATTTTCGTTTCTGTAGTTCAAGTTCAATTTTAGTTTCAGTTTCAATTTCAGTTTCATATTTGAATTTTTGCTGCACTTCGTTTTCCGCTGTAATTTGTTTTCTGCAATCATTTTTTTTGCATTTCATTTTGTGCATTTCATTTTCATTTTTTATGTCCTTCTATTCCATTATTTCCATCTTCCATTGCTATTGTAATTCGTGTTAATGGATAACTAAACTCGGAGGGTTGGGCCCTTGAAGGATTGCAATCTCCGCTGAGAGGCTCTCTGCATTCACAGTCCAGTTTAGTCCCTTGTTGTTGATTTTCTGCACTGGATCATTAAACGTAAGTCATGCTTAATGAATTCGGGTTTATTGTATCCAATACCATGAGTTGCTTAATCTTGTGGGGAGAACCGATCATTTACACGTTTGCTTAATTTGTGTAAAGGATAGGAAAGATTAAGCTGGATAGATTTTTTATTATGAACCGATGAACATCAGAGATGCATTCTATTTAAGGGCCTAATCTGTTTTAATATGCATTTATACAATCTGTTATAATGCATTCATTTAAAATTCATTCATTCATTTGTTAAAATTCTTAACAAAAATTAGGGTTTTAAAAATTTTCCCAAATTTCACCGATTAAATTGTTGTGTAAAGTAAATAGAGCAAGGATAGAGTCTTACACAGATGATTTATACTGGTTCGGATCAAAATACCCTACGTCCAGTTGCTAATCACTCAAATAGAGGATTAACGCTGTCACTATAATCACAGTTTTACAAATAGGTAACAATTTAAAAGATAAGGTAACGAAAACACCTCTCTTGAGCCACACAAGAGATGAAGAACAACTTTCCTTAGAGACGACACAACACACAATCCACCAAGAAAACCCACTTAGTGATTCTTATCGCTTCTAGCCCACACTAGGTTCCAAAAGCCCATTTTTCCTCCAACAAACAATTCTCTGGCAGTCACAACTCTCAACTTTTGTTTGAAAAAAGTTGTTCACTTTGCAGAGAGCCTTAGAGAACCTTAAGTAAACGAATTAGGGTTTGGGAATTGGGGATTTTCGAAACCTGATGAATTGGGACTAGGGTTTTCGAAACTTGGTCCAATTTTGAAATTCAAAACACATATCTTGTAAGGTTAAACTTTAATTGAATTATGATATCCATTCTAATGATCAAACATATATCTATAATCCCATACTGTAAACATGTTATAAACTAAATGCGAAAGCGTACCTGATTTGACCATAATGACGATATCCTTTGTAGAGCACCTTTGATTTGATCTTATGGTCTTCCACCTGAAGAGCACCTGTATTTCCCTCTTGATTTTCTCTCTTGATGGGGATAGAGAGAAAGGAACGGGACTGTAACTTTGTTTTTGTCTGTGTGCTCTCAGAAGGGGACCATGACCCTTTAAATAACCAAAATTAGGTTAATTACTTAAGTTTTAGTATTTTCAATTTGGCCCCTCATCAAATTAGAAATTACTCTATGGTCTCTACACAATCATATTTTCATGACATATGCCTTTAGCCAAAACTTTAATTTATTCAGATCACTTTATTATTTGGCTTAATAAATAATGACCCTAACACATTCAAATATGTATCATATATATACATGACCCAAAATTTGCCAACAAACTCCCACTGGTCACAAATATATATGTCTTTACAACCTTACAAATGTGTTAGACTTTATGAGCTCAAAATTGTCATTATATTCC